AGCTTTCGTTCTTACTTTTAACAAAAAAACAAATTAAACATCGGGTGAGTAATAAGGTATTTGTTTGGTGCTCTCTTCCTCCGTAATTGGAATCTGTTTACAAACCCTCTGCTGCCACAGTTTCCTCAGCTTACCACACCCCAGAGAGAGAGAGCAGGGCCATGTGAGTCAGAATGCAACCAGAACTGACTCCCTTGGGTTCATGGAGTCACTGGAAAAAACATCAGACATACAGCGTTAAGAGAACAGACTTCAGACATCACTACTGGGACTTAAATCAAGTCTTGACCTGCTTCTTTACCTAGTTCAACTGAGTTACCTGGAGAGATTAAGCTGTTGCCATAACAATGTCCTGTGTCATTCAGCAGAGACGTTGTGTTAGAGACTGGTGAAAGGGGGAAATGAGAGTGGCTGGGCCCTGGTGGAAACCTGGTGGTTTATTTTTATCTCCAGCTCAGTGGAAAATCCAGAGAAAAACACTGGCACAGACAAAAGCAATGGTGTCCACTGCTTGGTGCTCAAGGGCTCTTAATAAAACCTTTATGTATATATTTTTTGCTCTTTTAGGTATATATTTTGTATTTATAATTACAGGACATTAATAAATTAGCCACTTAAACTGTAAACTGCAAGAGGAAAAAGAATTACAACAAATTAAAACAATTAGCCAACACTGGCACCATAGTGAGGCAGACTTATAACTAGAATGTCTGATTTTAAGATTTTAAAGCCCAGTTTTACCAAACAGGGCCAGCACTCCTCTCAGAAATGAACTCAAATACCTCTTCCCATTTCTTCGCCTACAACTATTCCCTCAAGTTGTGGATATAAATGCTGTCCTTTGTTAACATTCCAAATCTGACCACAATGCCACATGATCCGTTAGTGAGCACCAGTTAACAGTCCTAGACTTTGCCTCTAGATGGAGCCACAGCTGTGTTGAGTGAGAGCCTTAAGAGAGTCCTTAAGAAGTTTCTACAGTTCATATGAAGATACTGCAACCTGAAATCATTCCATCATAATTTATGAACGCGTCAATCGATTTTTAACTCTTTTCTTTCTTCCTGTCGTCTTATTCCAGCTATCATCATGTCTGACGTCCACACAGCAATGGCCCTCCTCATCAACGCCTTCAGTAAGTACGCTGGCAAGGAGGGGGACCCCCACACCCTGAGTAAGGCAGAGCTGAAAGAGCTGCTTCAGAATGAACTTGGAGATCTGCTTGGGGTGAGTGACCTCTGACCTCTCTCCATCTCAGTCCTGCACAACCACCAGGATGCTCATTGGCATGTACAATGTGTGTTGCGGTGTATTGTATGTATGATGGAGAATGCACAATTTGCACATCGTCACAGCCTGTTGACCCTTATGGTCGTGCACATAAATTTTCCCCAGTTTCATGATCAGTGCGAGTGATGTGTGTGAGTGAACGTGTATAACCAGTCTACATGTTTGTTTGACTTTTCTCACCTGCAGAAAGCCAATGACAAGACAGCAGTGGACCGCATCTTCAAGGAACTGGACCAAAACCAGGACAACAGCGTGGACTTCAGCGAGTTTGGCAAGATGGTCTTTTGCCTCACTGTGATGTGCCACGAGTACTTCACCACCAAAAAATAAGGATCAAGCGCCCTCTTGGGGCCAACATAGAGCGCTGCCTCCCTGTGAAAGAGCAGTGTCTCATGACAGCTGTTCTGATGAAGGAATGAATATTTACTATTTACTTAATCACCATGAAGTTGAAAAATTCTAATGTAACGCACAATTAAATAAACTTCTTTTTCTTTGAAACACTTGACTTGTGCACTTGTGTTACTGATTCTTGCCCAAAACACTTGGAAGTGGTTAAGTTCTGTTGACACTAAACGTTCATGCTGTAAATCTTACAGCTGGATTAACATCAGCAAAGGAACAATAGATGCAGGTTATGACAAAAAAGATTATATTCTAACCCACAATGAAATTAATTTAGTTTATTTGAGACACTTGACTTGTGCACTTTATGTGTCACTGCATGTTTCCAGGGGACCAATATTTGTGACAATATTGGCTTTCATGCCTTAAATCTTAGAGCTGGGTTTACTTCAGGGAAGGATGTCACCGATGCAATCACATCTGGAGGTGGAAGGAACAGAGTACATTTACAAAAGCACTCTATTTAAAGCAATGAAAGGAGAAATAAGACAATACCCCTCTTACAAATTAAATGTTAAATTCATAGGTAACAAAATGTAGCCTGCTTAATAAAATACACTTTTTTTCTGTCACAGCCTTCTGGTGTGTCAAAGGCTAATGACTGCGAATGTTAGCAAACTTTAGATGTTAGATGTTGTTGTATAAATACCATTACAATGACGTTTTAGCGTTCAACATTATTCTGTAATTGCAGTTTGTGGCCACAGTGGGGTTCAGCAAACGTAACATTGTCTTCCTTTAAGGAAGGTTTTAAAATAGCCTACTGTAACTTTACATGGAAAAATTAGACACACAACACACAATAAAAGTAAAAATAAATAATCAGGTTCAAACGCAATCTGGCTGGCTGAGGGTTTCTATATGGAGATCTACATGTTTTCCTGTGTATGGCTTTCCTGTAAGTGCCCCAGTTTTATTGCACAGTCTAAAGAAATGCAGGTTAGATGAACTGTAAATTCTACATTGCCTTTAGATGTGACTGTGAATGCAGTTGTCTGTATGTGTTAGCACCATGTGAGAGGCTTGGCAACCTGACCTGGGTGACCCTGCCTCTCACCTCATTCATATCACAATAGGCTGCCTTGATGAGGGAAAGTGGATGGATGAATAGCATGTTTAGTTAAACTCCACAACTATGGATTACCACATGCAAATTAATGCTTTTACTATTTGTAGAATATCCATACATTTCTGCTCATAGTTTTCAATAAGGATTATGAATATGACTTTAGCTTTAAATAAAGTATTTTTTTACTGTTACTCTTACTTAAAAATAATCTGGATTTTCTTTAAAGGATCAGTGTGTAGGATTAAGTGGCATCTAGCATTTGAATACAACTCAGCCTTCCAAGCTTGTAAGAGAAACTACGGTGGCTGTGAAACTGGCAAAAAATATGGAAGGGCCTTTCTAGAGCCAGTGTTTGGTTTGTCCATTCTGGGCTACTGTAGAAATATTTCCTGAACTACCATCACATGTACATTGGATTCGAGATGGTGCTTTGTTTTCTTAAGGTGGAGAAAATAAGACTCTCTCTCCAAGGAAGGTCCAATGCATTCTTCAAGGTCTGGGGCCCCTTTCACGAGTGCATTAATAACAGAACATTTAAGTGGTAAGTTGTGGTTGCCCAGTGCTCACTTCTTTATAAAAAAAAACCACTTATTATTATTACTTCTATGTCACATTATAAAATGTATTTGTATTTATCTAGATATAAGTGTTGTATATCCCTACAAGAATCCTAATAAAAAAAGGTGTAAAATATGGTGGTTCAACATGGCGGAAGAGGAACCGCAGCCCCCTGTAGATAGAAATGGCTCATAGACAAATATTATTTTACATCATGCATTTTGGCATGAGTAATCACGCCCTGAGGGCTGACAACCTGCAAGTTTTCATTCCAAACAAACACTGCAGTGGCTTCCCTCACACATCACTTCTCCTTCTCTGTTTTCAAAATGAGTAATCAGCACCTCTATTGCACGAGATCGCCCGTCCTTGTTTAGATGGATTACAGATAGATAACGTAAAACAAAGCACGGTATCAGTGTTTGGCAAACAGTTTTTTAAACTCTGTCACAAGGCAGCAAATCAGTGAGGAGAAGCCCCAATGAACGTGGAAGAGTGTAGAGAGAAACAGAGCATTTTTCTGGTATTAAAAGGTGATTTTAAAGGGGAATCTACCTTGTTTCTGTGTTGTTTCATAACAATTTAGATAGTTAACAGCCCCAATACAGATAGACAATCATTTTTGTAAGACTATACTCAATTTGAGAACATAAGCTATGGTATTTTTAACAATTATTATTATTATATGATAAATTACTGTTAATTTTATATATTATATATATAATATTTTTATCTTTTACTTTATTTTAAATTTTATTGTTAGGGTTAAAGTTCTTAATTTTAGTTTAATGTATGTTTAATGTATGTTTAATGTATGTGTATTGTAAGAAGCAGGAAATGTATTTGGGTTAGGGTTCAAATTTTAACTTTAACTTTAATATCTCTACAAAACATTTCCATATTTCATACAAGCGTCCGATAGAATAAATAATTAACCTCACAGCTCAAAGTGAAGAGTAACCTCGCATTAAAAAAAAAAAAAAGTTACTGATCACACAGAGCAGAGCGGCCTGTCGGTGACGCCGCCGGGAGGTCACGTTGTTCGGCCGTGTCTCGTGACGCCACCGAGGGGCGGGTTATCAACAACAGAGTCTGTCTGTGCAGCTAACGTTACCGAGGCACAGAGCCCGAGTGTTGTTTTGAATTTGCTAGAAGACACCGACTGGAAGTGAAGGGGGCTCGGGCCTGTGGATAAGATGGCGGATGTAGAAGGCGATGAAACTCGGTCGGCTCTACCTTCGGCATCCCGTAACGGTCCGGTCGTCGGTTCGTCCGGTAGCACCGCGGGCCAGACGGCGACGACGGTAACGTCGGGTCCGCGGATGGTGAGGATCGTGAAGTCGGAGTCCGGCTACGGCTTCAATGTTCGCGGTCAAGTGAGCGAAGGAGGGCAGCTCCGGAGCATCAACGGGGAACTGTACGCTCCTCTCCAGCATGTCAGCGCCGTTTTGCCCGGTGGCGCGGCGGACCGAGCCGGGATAGCGAAGGGGGACCGGATCCTGGAGGTGTAAGTCAGCCGCTACTCTTTCATTAAGACCAGGTAGTTAGCACGCAAAGGCTAGCTCCCCACTTTAGCCCGTGTTGATCCGAGTCAAAGCGTGCGGTGACATTAGCCACCTTTCGAGGTATAACGCCGTACGCCACCTGTCTGTTATGACAACAAAAGTGTCTTTTTACGGAGCAAAACACTCATTTCTCTCAGTTCACGGCCATTCGTAGCCAACTCGTTATCGGTGGTGCAGCTACATGAAGCTAACGCTAGTGAGTTAGCTGTAACTAGGAAGCTAACCAGCTTACATAAGTTACAGGCTGTGTGCTGCATGTTGATTAGCTGTAGCCACATAGCGACCCAGGTACCTATCAGGTCTTGTTTGGTCAGCCCTTTGCGCAGGGACTGTTTGAGCCCGGTGGTAAGGACGGGGTTTAATGGACAGCCTTGTTGACATTGCGGTGTCATATGCATAATATTGGGGATGTCGATTTTGACCCTGCCCGAGTTCAGTGGATGGCAGAGTTGTCACTCAGATTCAGCATCATACGGTGTGTGTGGCTTTCACGACAGGCAAAGGCATACGATGTTTATTTGGGATTGTGTTAGGTAGTGTTATCTGTTGTTTTCGCCCTTTATCAGTGTAGGTGAGTGGTGATACTTGATATGCATGACTTGGTCTTGAAGACATCTTGTAGATTTTGTTTGGTCAAACTTTAAAAAGTCTGGGGGGGCAAATTCACTGTCAGCCCTAGAGGAGATTTTTGTGAAAGTAACTGAACTTTTAACAGATGTAATAATCAGTTTTAAAGAGAAATTATTTCCACCACAGACCCTCCTTCTATTCATCATCTCAGATTTCTAATAATGTCATGGTTAACCTATCGATCAGTGTTTATCCCACCATGGTAGCCTCGGCCCTAATTATAGGTTAATGCTGCAAAACGTAGGAGAACTTAATGTTGAATATGTAAAGTTACTACAGTTATGTTTCTTAGGCCTCCATGTGTATTTGTGGCCTAGCAGAGGGCTTATTGTAAGGACTTTAAAGAGCTGTTAAAACATGTTGCTTTATTGTTGCGAACTTGACTGGAGGCTAAAGTTAGAATAAGGCAGAAGAGAAACTGAAAACAAGGAACACTTGACTACTTCTACTTGCTGAGGCATCAAAAAGCTTTTCTCCATTTTAACACTAAAAGTTCTCTCTGGTCACATGACAGGACCAGTGCTTATCATGTGACTTATTAACCAGCTTGACCTTTTTTGCATAAATGCAAAAGAATCATCCGGTTAAGTATGTCATATGTCAGCACTTTACCTTTACTGTTTTATGAACAAGGAAAGAGGACAAAGCTGGTTGTTGTTCATTTTCTGACTCAACTGACGGCGTCTAGTTTAACAATCTTTCTTAGTCGCCTTTAGAAATAAATTGAATTAAAACATGAACTTGCTTTGCTCTCTGTGTACATGAGATAATAATGACATGAGGTTTTATAGGACTGGTCCTAGTGGACAGGCCTGTGCTCGCGCTGTGGCGTGCTCCCTCCTCTCCTGTGTCTGTCCCGCTGTTTCTCATAGGAAGATTAGCAGAGACACCTGATGCTGGTGCCATCTGGCCTCGGCAAAGCCAAGAAGGGAGGTGTCTCACAGCACCAAAGGAAAGGGAGACATTAGAGATGACCTGGTTACTCGGCACTCCAAGCACTGTGCTTATCAATGAAGGACAACATGCTCCGATATTGCCACACGCCGTCATGGCTGCAAGGGTGAAATGTTTCGTTATTATTACTGAGTGGGTCGGATACGGTCCGACACACGAGCAGTCCACTTTAAATACACTTTTCTTTCTCTGAGTCATTATGAAATTCATTGTTTATGTTATTAGTTGCATTCATTCGGTCACAGCGGGTCGAAAACTCTTTTGTGCCGCAGTTGTTCCTGGCCTCATGTTACCTTCCATAAAGATGATTACTCACTGGATTTCAAATGTGGAGGAAAAAAAAGAGAGCACCAGTATTGGATTGGTATTTGATACTGTGAGATATCCTGAGTTGAGGTTTTGGAATTGGCATCAGGAGAGGAATGAGTTGAAACAGTCCATCCTGAATTATTTTTTTGCCAGAAATCCTTTTGAAATATTTCAAAACTGTCACACCGTGGCAACATTGTAAAAGTTAAGTCAAGCCCTGCTCTGGTCTGTGCTGAATGCTTAATCTTCTTCCCTTTGTGTGCAGCGAGTTGAATCATCCCCTTCCTCTCCCTTTCCTTCCAGTAATGGGGTGAGTGTGGAAGGTGCCACCCATAAGCAGGTGGTGGACCTGATCCGTGCAGGGGAGAAGGAGCTGGTTCTGGCTGTGCTGTCTGTTCCAGCTCAGGAGGCTGATGGATTGGAGGGAGGAGAGGATGTCCAACCCAACTATGACTACAGCGATAAGCAGGCAGTGCCCATTTCAATTCCCACATACAAACATGTAGAGCAGCACTCCGAGAGGTTTGTGGTGAGTGCTGGTTTGAAACATTACCTTACATTTTACCCTCAAGCGTGTAGAAGATTTTTTTTTTTTTCTCCAATGGTGGTATTAAAAAAAAAAAAGTGTAATTCTTGATTGCAAACGTACCTTCCTTCTACTCTAATGCACTGAGTCTGTCTGTCCTGTCTCTGTCTCAACGATCATAGGTGTACAACGTGTATATGTCAGGTAGACAGCTGTGCTCAAAGCGCTACCGGGAGTTTGCCATCCTGCACCAGAACCTAAAGAGGGAGTTTTCCAACTTCAACTTCCCAAAGCTTCCTGGTAAATGGCCCTTCTCCCTGTCTGAACAGCAGCTGGATGCTCGCCGCAGAGGCCTGGAGGAATATCTCGAGCGAGGTAGGCTGTTTTTGGAAAGAAGGTCACTGCCGTATAAACCCCTACTTGTGGGTTGATTTTCAACACGGGCAAAGACAAAAGGCTTTTCTGTTACCAGTTCATTCGAGAAGAACTGCAGCTCCATTTTCAAAGGCTGACATCCAAGCAGACAATAATCCATAATAGCCATACATACCAAAAGAAGCAATGATTGAATGTGTACGAGCAGAGATCATGTAGTTAGAATAGAAAAAAGGCCAAGCTGTGGTTGTGATCAATTTTCCACTGTACACAGAAAATACTTGAACACAGGATACAGGCAAAGTAACATTGAGCTGCCCTTTGTTTATTTAATATACGCTAACTTCTCTCTGCCTCTCGATCTTTCTCTGTCTCTGTTTGTCTCTAGTTTGCTCTGTGCGGGTGATCGGGGAGAGTGACATCATGCAGGAGTTTCTCTCTGAATCAGATGAGGTATGCACCATTTATTGTTGTTCTGATATGAATTGTTCTAAATTTGGATGCAGCTATTTTTATTTGACTTTTGACTCTGAGCTTTTGAAACTGGAACCTTTTGACTGGGGAAAGTTTTTCTGCAAATCTTTGTTGTATAACTCGTGTCTTGTAAGGCAAGGCATCTGCACAGCACCTTGTTTATTATACTGTCTACTGTGTTCTCCAAAGTTAGATTGACATTTTCAGCATTTTGCTTCTCTAATAGATGATAATAGATTATTTTATATTCTGTATCTGTAAAGGATTTAGGTGAATTCATCTTTTTGGTACATCTTTCTCAGTCTTCAGTCTTTCAGTTAAAAAAAAAGTAGGCTATTTGCCATAAACAAGCGTCAGCAGTTAGGGCAGTTGAGTTTAATTACTTGTGAGTAGCTGGTGGCCCATCATGACTGCTAGTATGGAGTTTAAATGGGACAGCCAAAACAATCAAATAGTTAATTGCAGTTCCTTCCTAGTGTTTTGAGGAATGACGGCAGCAGAGACAAATGCAGTACTACTGAATTAATCCAGTACTTGAGGAGGATTAGGATTTGTAACAGGTTTAGGATAGGAGTTCTGGTTTAGTTATGTCTTGTTTGTTTGTTGTTTCCTCATACAAGCTGGCGCACACCCTTATTAATCCACACGCACGAGTAAATGCAGCTCAACAGCTGTTCTCATTATGTGTTACTTCGCTGTGCAGAACTACAATGGAGTGACAGATGTAGAACTGCGGATAGCCCTGCCAGATAAGACCACCATCTCCGTCAGAGTCCGCAAGAACAGCACCACAGACCAGGTGTACCAGGTAAGAACACAGAACATCTGGCATGTTGCTGTCATACAATACTATTGTACAGTTCATTGTCCCATCGTTTAATAAACTTTAATGATGCAATAGAAATTTTGAAACCAATGTTTTTCTTACATAAGTGACTCTGTACTGGTCTTCCTGCAGGCGTTGGTGATGAAGGTGGGAATGGACACTATTATGGCGAGCTACTTTGCCCTTTTTGAAGTCATCAACCACTCCTTTGGTAAGAACTGTATGTGTAATCAATGTGTATGAGCATTTCAAAGTGAAATTCAAATATTCTCATGTGTTTAATTTAAAAGCCTGCTCTCGGGTGACTTGATCACATGACCACTAGTTTTCTAAATAAAGACCTGTGTCATCCCACTGGTGAGCTTAATTTATTGGGCCTAGGGGTATGTGTGCAGGTTTGGACAGCAAGGGCAAGTAATTTGGTACAGGCTAGAATTTTTTTAATGAATAAACAGACGGCTCTCTCCCCCCTGCTTTTCATCCCCCTCCTCATCCCTCTCCTTTCTATTATTTGTTGCAGTGCGGAAGCTGGCACCTAATGAGTTTCCCCACAAGCTTTATGTGCAGAATTACACATCGGCAGTGCCGGGGACTTGCTTGGCGCTCCGCAAATGGTTGTTCAGCTTCCAGGAGGAGGAGTTGCTAAGAGACAACCCGCTGGCACTGCACTACTGCTTTCACCAGGTAATAACAATAATTGAATCCCACTTGCCGTGGACTTAAGGGAACTCAGCACAAAATTTGATCTTCTGGACTGTTTTTTCTTCAAGAGTTTATGTACTCCTTTCGAAACTGTTAAAATGTTGTACGTGTCAGCATTTTATCGCCATAGATAATGTCTCCCATAATCAGTGAAATTTACTTTATTACTCTATTCTTTTACTTTTAATTACATATACTGATATCTGAATCTTCAAGTTTTCCGTCTAGTTAATTATTCGTACTGTTATAAATCTGCTCTGGCTTTTGTTATGGGATTATATAGAGATTATTTTGAGTGCCGTACTCATAAGACCTGTACTTGCCAGCTGGGAGTGTGTTGTACAATGATTATTGTAACTGTGATAATCATATCCTAAACAAAATATCACACTACTACCTAAATAGTCCCATTAGTCTAGTGCTTCTATGTATGTATGTATGTATGTATGTATGTATGTATGTATGTACGTACTTAGAAGAAAACCAGAGAAGCATGATATTCTACGAGCCAGCAAAACTTTTCTACAGGTTTTGAAGTATAAATTGTAAAATGGAAAAAATAATCCTCTAATGCAAATGCACTAAAAATAGCCATAACAGCAGCAGCCTATGGGCTGTCTGCTGACCAACAAAGGTCACCACCTGAAGCGTCTAAGGCATGTGAGCAGTGACTCATTAAAGTGATTTAGACAAGTAAAGTCAGCACATCTGAAAACAAACCTATCCAAAATACCTAAGCCTGCAATAACCATTCCAGTTATTATGGAGCAACATTACCATTGATTTGGGGTCCTGTTTGTAGCCACTTGGCCAATGTAAGTCCAATATCCTCTCACCTTTTAGCTCAGTCTCCAACTCCTGAGGAAAATATCTGCCTCTTTTAGCTGATAAATTCTCCACTAAGTTCACCAGCTATTAGTTTGGAGAGAGTACTGAGAGTACAGTGGTTTTTAGAGATTTTTTGAAAACAGCTGACAGGTGCAGCTGAAAACACCGCTTTGAGATTGGTGAGAGTTAACCAAAACAGGGAAGTTGTAGGCCAGACAGCTAAATAATGAGGTGAAACTCTGGAAAGCTCTGTGAATCTGAGGGAAGCCACATATTCAGGTGGTAATTCTCTGTGGGTTCATCATTACAAGTGACTGCTTTCACATTGTCATTTCCACTGTTATTTAAAAAATATTGAATATAGGAATAAAGTATACACCAGGTTATTGCTGTCATTGGTTCAACTTAGTTCATAAGTGTATTGTTAAATGTTTTTATTGGATAATTATTTTGTCCATTGACCACAAATGTTAAATGGTGTTGCATCTCTTAATGCCACCCCATTTCCCCATCCTCCCCACCCCCTGTCTGTCTAGGCATTGGAAGATGTGAAGAAGGGATTCATAAAAACAGAGGACAAATCCTACCAGCTGCAGAAGCTGGCAGAGCAGCGCAAGATGGCCACGGTCAGTCCCACAGACCACTCTTTGTTCAGGGAGGAGATTGGGTTGACTACACTTTTTGCCTGCTGACCAGAGCCATCACCAAAACGTTACCAAACAAAAATGGACAGAAAAGTCAGAAACCCCTTTCACACTTCAGAATACAGCCCTCTATGGTGTAAACAGAATTAAAGCCATTGAGTTTATACTGATGTTTGTAGAACATTAACTCAAAGTGGTGAGTGTTTCTGTGTGTAACCTCCATTTACAACTATGTAGCCATCCAGCACAAGATTGCCAAGCTTTTAAAGGGCAACCTTAGATAAATGAATGTAAAAACACTGGCTTACATGTGCTTTAGTGATCTGATTGTTCCAAATGTTAGGCAGGATCTGATTTCAGAAATGTTCATGCAAACAAGAAACCTGGTTTGCTTCATCAGGACCAGGGACACGGTAGAGAAACCAAGATATTTGGTTACCGTAAACCATTTGCTTTACGTCTGAATTTGCATGAAACAAACAATGTGAATGTAGTGATATCGCAGTGTAGTGGGGCTAAAGGAGACATTATTACTCACAGTTTTACATCTTGTTTCCAAAATATTCTGGTCCAAATTCTAACTGAAACTATTACTGCATTCATTTTTATTGTTAGAACTCTGTTAACTCCATTATATTTATAAGGCAAATCAGTTTTCACAGCTTAACAGTGGCTTATTCTTTTTAATTCAAACTGTGTCCTCTCCTACCACAGAATCTGTCCACTCAGTCACTCAAAATGTCGCAGCAGTATCAAATCATGAAACAAAGTTTGTCATAAACTGAAATACTTAAATACCAATATGTTATTACTGGTACATTAATGTAGTTGAACTCTGGTCACAACCCAAACTCCTTGTCAACTGGGATTTTGTAAATAATCTTATTTATCTTACCATAGCCTGGTTACTTATAGTATTGGTGACTAAAGTATTTGCTCTATAATACTTGTCTGTTAGTACCTGAGTCTGCTGCGGACATGTGAGGGCTACAATGAGGTGGCGTTCCCCCACTGCTCCTGTGACTCCAGGAGGAAGGGACATGTCATCACAGCTATCAGCATCAATCACTTCAAGCTGCACGCTTGTACTGAGGACGGCACGCTGGAGGTGAGCGTTTGTCTGTGCTAGTTTGATAAAGTAACTCATCACTTTGTACGGCAACATGGGTTTAGTAAACCATTTAGTTAAAATACGCTGTTATATTATTAAACGTAATGATTATTTATTGGATCTACAATTTTGGGGTTCCTTTGTATAATAAAATCAAACCATTCCTAAATAGATTTTCCAGATACTGAATTGTGAATCAAATCAATGTTAAGTTAAACATGTATATGCCTATGTATGCATGGGGCTTACCTAACTGTAAACTCTGTCTCTCCCTCAGAACCAGGTGATAGCGTTTGAGTGGGCGGAGATGCAGCGCTGGGACACCGATGAGGAGGGGATGGCTTTCTGCTTTGAATACGCCAGAGGAGAGAAGAAACCTCGCTGGGTCAAGATTTTCACTCCTTATGTGAGTGTACACACACATGCACTGCTGTTTTTTCCCCCCTCAACTTTATCTTTATTGACTTTGTAACATAGCAGCCCTGGAGCTCAATAATGCAAGAATGTACAAAAATATATTCCCATAGATGCCTCATCAACCCACCCCTCCCTCTCTCCATTCACAATTCGCCCCTCACACCTCAAACACATCCCTCCTGTCCACCCACCCACCCCTTCAGGTCTGACCACTAATTTGAACATAATATGTAACTATTCAAAGAAAAAGGAATTAATAACAAACTGAAAAATAACCAGACATTTGCAGGAGGGGATAAAAAATAACACTTTATATGAATATAATAGGAGTACTATGTTGTGGACTTACACTACAGGTTATACATTATATTTTGATTTGGCATACGCTAATTCATTAGTCCATCTAGCCATTGTAGGTGGTTGTTCGTTTTTCCATTGTATGGCTTTACATTCGTTGGCTGTAATAAGGTCTTTTTATTGACTTTTATCATAGATGTGTCGCCCAGCAGGGGTTACCTTTGGTTCTCTGTTGGACACGTTTTGCATATTTTTTTTTAATTGTGTTTATGTATTTATTTTTGCTTTGTTGGAATTTTAAATGAACAACTTGTAATATAATCCACTAACATATATGATTTGATAGTCAACACACTTCCTCACAAAGCAGTACAAAGAAGAAGCAGCCAATAAATAATAAATAGCTTGCAGTCTGATTGTGCTATATAGGAAGGCCGAATAACAATTGTTTGCTTTTTTTCTCCCAGTTTAACTACATGCATGAGTGCTTTGAGCGGGTCTTTTGTGAGCTGAAATGGAGGAAACAGGTAAGGACCACTCCTTTCCTCTTTCATTCTGGGAAGCACGGGACTCCAGTCTGAAATTCTAAACTTAGCTTATTATTAGATTTGTGTTTTCTTCAGGCCTTTGTATAAAATTATAAATTTTATATTTCCCATGTATTGATTTCTTTTTTGTCAGGTTGAGGAAGAGGCATCTGACAAAGACAACAAAAACTGCAGCAACAATGGTAAGCAGTTTTTGACATATTTGTTGCCCTCAATACAAAGCAATAATATTGTTTGTAACACACAACAAAGCACCAGCACCGAAGGATAAACGGCTAGATTTTATCTGGGGCAAATCATGAGGAGATATGTATTCAGATGTGGTGCTGAGTGGTGCTTTGAATGGCCTCGGCCATCAAGCACCATGAATTATGCAGAAATTTCCTATTTGACAAAAACTAAAAGGGCAAGGGCAGGGAGAGGATTTCAAGTATGCTACATTATTTTATGTCTCCGTATTAAAGGCAAAAATATACGTGAACATTTACTAGTTAGTAAGTAACTTTAGTTCAGTGACATTAAATTACACTCTGCCCTAGAAAGGGTGCATTCACACACATTTGTTTTATTTTATTATATCTTTTGTGCAGCTCTTATGGCATCATAACTCAACAAAATCTAGGGGCAAGTACAAAGCAGAGAAAAAGCTGCACTTTGTTGGCAGTTTGCCAGAGCTTCACAATGCACTTAAGTAAGGAGTAATAAATTCTCCTCCAGTGCTATCAGATTACTGTGAGAAGACATACACTGATGTATTTTTGTATACGAAGAAAAAAATGTATGCAGAATAGATACGAGACTCGTTATCTGTGCCATCTCCAAGAGGCCCACACATAAGGGGGAAGTTGAAACTGTTTTTCTCATGTGAGACAGCACGAGAACAGCCGTACAAGTATGCAGACGAGCAACTGCGAGGCGTGAGGATGAGTGAGGATACTTTGGAGTTACACAAACAGAGGCAGATAATGAGCTAAGGACGAAGCTGAGAAGGTTGAGGACATCCAGATAAAAGGCAAAGGCTAGAGCAAGCCACAGAAGCACTTATAGAATCATAATCACTAATTTGAAGCATAGTAGACATTCAGGGAAGTTTCTTAGTCACACTGTTGCTGGGACACTGATTTATCTGTGTTGTGTTGTGGCAGCATTTTTGTAAGTCACATGAAATGCGGAAAAAAAAAAAAAGACCATCATTCAGACTTGTTCCCTCAACCGTCTCTCTGTGTTCCAGAGTATCTGCCTCCTCTGGAGACACAGCAGAAGGGATGGCGCCACCTAGGGGGGGAGATTGCAACTTCCTAAAACCATTCGTCATCACTCAAACTAGAACTGGTCCACTTGCATCATCACAGCCACCCCAGAGAGCGCCCATCAACAAACACAGAACTGAGTGACAGACTGAGGCGATCCATGCCCCGAAAAACATACTGGAAGTGACCTATTTGGGAAATTGGAATAGTCACACTTAAACGACCCCAGGGATACACACAGCAAGAAGAGCAATGAAGGAGAATAAACAAAAGCCAACTTTCATGTCATTTACTAGATCTCCATAGCGTGTCTGTTGTTTTCCTCCATGTATCCGCCCTGTGATATGAGGCAGGACATGAGCAAATTCTTGCCACTGGTTGAGACGTGACACATACAGTACATACAGTGTGTGACCGGTCAGGGTCACCACAGAGCAGCGGCACCATTTTGCGCAAGGGGAGCACCGCAATGAATCGCCACTTGACGAGGGAGCTGACGTGGGATCCGATTGTGACGGTCGGGTCCTCCCAACACGACTGGCTCCGTCCAAAGCCCTCGGAGTGGCCCTGGTCTGATGAACTGAGCTGAGATGAAAATAAGAAGGGAGGGATACAGAAAATGGGGTTTTCACTTCTTTAACAGGTAGTGATGAAGAAAGAAAGCAAAGTTATGCTTTACACTGATGATGGACATTAACACAAAAATTATGTTTTCTATCTGTAAGGTCAGAAGTGTTCTTTCTTTGTTACAAATGTAACTAACTGAAAATGGATGTTGGGGCGGGGGGGGAGGGGTGTCCATAATTATGTGTATGTTTAACAATCTTACTTCTGATAAAATATAGATTAATATAAGAGCTATAATAATTGGTTTCTTGATCTAACACAATGAAACACTAACTGAATAGCATTCAAGCTACTCTAACTAATCTCCATTCTTCAACTTGTCTTGTGGTCCAACCCACGCTACTTCAGAACGACAAATGTTGGCAATCTGCCGGGAGTGTGTGTGTGTTTATCCCCCTCGCAAGTGTTTTATTGTGGTGATTCTGCAGAGCCTAGAAGTTGAGTGGAAGAGGCTTTCTCATTCTCAGCTCTGTGTGGGGATGATCTCTTGAACAAAAGGTTGATGGGCCAAAGCGTTGATGTTTTTAAAATGGCACATGTTCTGCATGAGGAATCTATCTGACAGATTGTGAATATGAGGACCAGACAGGAGCGTTTTTGAGTGTACGTCTGTTGAGCTGCAGTTTACTGAACAGGCAGCAGAGAGCAGCAGAGTTTAACACAGATTTAGTCATAGGTTTTGAGCAGAAATAGAAATCTTCTCAGAGCTTCTTATAGAGTGATCCCTCGGGCTCTGTAACTCATCCAGAAGTATCACTCCACTGCAGTTTGTCCATTAACCACGTCAGGAGGACAGGTGGTGTGTGCGTGCGTGTTTGTTGTACTGAGCATGAAGTTGGCGACTGCAACTACAACCATCAGCTCTTACTGCACCTGAACGAGTACAGTATTAGTGGTGTGTGTGTGTATGCACATTACATATGATTTACAATTTACACAGATTTTGTTTGTTTTTGAGCATTTCAGGTTTTTTTCACTCTAAGATAACATGTTTTTCTTTCTGTAGATTTAAAACACTTTAAATCAGCAGGAAAGCAGGTTTACATGCGGACAAAAATGCTCCTGATTTGAGACAATGTGCGTAGAAGTATAGATTTCACCTGATTACAATAGAGTTTTTTGTTTATCCCATTACGGGCTAGTAGTTTTATCTCAGCCGATTTATTACAGACTCATTCTTGTGCTTCATTCGCCGTCTGGCAAGCGACCAAAAACCCAAAACTGAGAGTGATGTTGGTTTATTTTTTATTCACACTGACTTTTAGAGCACAAGTTCAAATTTCAGTTTGTTAAAAGTGTTTTTTTTTTTTTTTTTTTTAACAGTTGA